ATTATCTACAAAGATAGTATATAATGAATTGGATAATTAAATAATTTATTTATATATTCTTAATGTAATATATATATATTATATTAAAGTAAACTTCTATAAATAGCATGTGATGTATTATTTTATAACAATTAGAATAATAAATTAAATTATTAATTAATTATATCAATTATAAATTTTTGTAAATTTTCTTTATAAAATTTTCGTATAATATTTATAAGAAATAATTTATTTATCGCACGTGCGATGCAAATTTTTATGTTTATCATTGCCATTTTAAGGGGGTGGCGATGTATAAGCAGGTTGATCAACATAAATAATTTACAAAAAAGGAAAGTGGCGATGCATCGCACGTGCGATGAATAAATTTACTCTATTTATAAAACACAATGTTCATATAACTTTTATATATTAAATAAATAATAAAACAATATCTAGTATTCTGATTTAAAAAAAAACAAATGTCTATTATCTGATTAAATATTTACGTTAAATTGCTGAAAGCCAAACTGCTTTAGCTTGAAATCAAGTAATTACAAATAGAAAGATAAAATATATATAGCTTGTTGGATTGTTTTTTTGAGATATTTTAAATGGTAGCAGTTTTATACCTTTAGGATTAATAAATACAGTAAATAATAAAATATTAACATTTTCTTGAAATAATTTTTTATATTTTTAAATATTTATAAATGCTAATAACTTTTATTTACTGATAATAGAAATTCCACTATTTAGCATATTTTGATGAGACAAAGACAACAAAATATAATTTATTTATTTATGATTACTGAATAATTAGTTAAAATATTTACATTCATAATGCTGGCCAAATTTGCAAACGGACATTTATGTCCGTTTTATAATTCCGGCCAAATTTTGCTGGGCGAAATTATCTTAATTCTGGCCAAATTAATGTGTAACCTTAAAAAAATTTTTGCCTTTTTTATAGTTACAAGGTGGTACAAAATGTACATTAATGCAATCCTTGACCATGAGTTTATAAGTAAATATCCTGTCAAAAGTTATAAATTTGCCTTATTTGTAATTAAATGTTGGTAAGTTGTTTGGACCAATCAGATCTCGTGGGCTAATCTGTCCCATGGGCAGTTTATAAGCTAGGATGTAGTGCACGCCCACTTAGCTTAGAAACTATGCCGATCATTTGGCTGGGGTGGATATAGTAATGAAATGCCAAAAATGTGGTGTTCCCATATTCGTGTTTCATTTAAGAAACTTCTCGAATATAACCCAAGATTCTTCTCAAAGAATGAATATATTCATATGACTGAAAGATTATATGAAGATGGGAAATTCAGACCTGGAAGACGCACATTTTATATTTATTGCACTGCATGTGATTCCTTAGTATTTATCTGTGAAAATACCGAGAAATGTGCAGATAAGCATCTGAATGAATGTATTGCTAAAATAGAGGAAAGACGTGTTGCATATTATAGATCTATATTATGGAAACGAAAAAGTAAAAAAGCGCTTAGTGAAGATGAGATTGATGAAATTTATGGTAATATTTATTTTAGATACAGAAAAAGCTCTGAATTTTATTGTCCTCGTGCTTCAAAAGAAATTAAGAAAAGTGTTGCATATCGATTAATTAATAGTGCAAAAGTTATCCAATGGACTTGGAGAGCTTTCAAGTTGAGACCTGAAACATGGGCGAAACAAGTTTGGAATATGGTAAGAAATGATGGTTCTCCCAATAGAAAGAAATATTTAGGTATATTTTCACTAGTTGAAAGGAGAATAAATCCTCAGACTCAAGAAGAATATGATTTACATACCGACGAATATGTCAACTGCCTTAAAAAAGCATATAATGAAAATCTTGCTCAAAAATATATTAAAGAATATCTAGCCGAACAGGCCACAGGATACAAGGAATATAATCATTTTCATCCTAGTGATTGGGTAGAATGGAAGAAATTCCAGTTAAATGATCGCCTAAATGCTGTAGCATATATAGTTGCTTTTATAAAATTGCATCAACAAGGCTATAGAATCGTTACTTTTGGAGATTGGTCCCTTATGTTAAAATGTCTAGCAAATCCTGAATATCACCGTATTAGCAAAATAAATAATAACATTGTTGTAGTTAAAAGTTTAGAATATGCACGATATATGTGTGAAATGCAGGCAAACAATATCCATGTGATTCGCTAGAAATCAACTATTTTAAATCTGAATATACTACTACTATCGAGGGAAAGTCTATTATAATAGATTTCTCAGATTTTAACAATAATTGTGAGTATGTGCAACGAGTTTTTCGAGTCTTAAATTCTTTATTGAAATAGTATAGTATACAACATAATTATTATAATAATAATACCAATAAATTGATTTATTTTTTACTTGCACTTCACTCTGCCACAATGCATGTAGGCATGTGCGACATAAATTAGCACGTTTTTGATCCTCGTTAAAGTGTATGATGTAATAAATGATACACCGCAAATCATCTGTAACTCTGTGTGACTGCTTGTGCGACAAATTAATTTTCACACATAAGAAATCGATTCCCCAAAAAATATTTTGAATTTTTCTCTAGCAACGTTTAGTAGAATAGTATTTATTGATTTGTGTATATGCTCCAGAGGTATAGGATATTTCTACTGCCCTCCTACCAGAGCATATTTATATAACGTTACTAGGCCTTTATTACTGAGCGGTCAAGCAAGTGAAATAAAGAAAAAAAGTATGTATATGCATATTCCCTAACGCCTTTGCAATGTTGAGATCTACAATGCACATTCCGCATATCTTACTCTTAAACATAAAATTTTGGCGTAAAGTGCCTCGCATATTTCTTCTATCTCCCCAAACATGAATGTGAGTTAGAGAGGACGTGAATGGGAAATGCAAGACATTTAAAAAGGCAGTATGGCGAAAAGGTATTAAAATTTACCATATATTGTTTTTTTACTTCGCCTAGCAAGCTTTTCACTAACAATTATCTTCTTATTTTATCTAAACATGGAAGAGTTCCTTTTAACCAGAGAACCCCTTGATATCATCAGAATTTCTACGGCATTATTTGTACGAGTAGAGAAAGGTGAATGGACAGGCAATCTTGAAAAGGAGGTGGAGAACTTTGAAAATATTTTGCAAAAAGTTTTAGAACGAGTCCCCTCAGAGGATATTGAACGAAAAAAGAAGCTTCAAAGTTTTGGTACCGGGAAAAAATTAGCTAAACGGGTAAGGCGATGAATTATTTTTATAATAAATATATGGATATGATGACGTGTATTTTTTAGGTTTTCTAAAGACATACTGGGATCTCGTTGCATATATGCTAGTGAATGCGCTAATGTCCGTTGTGATATCATCACTTCCCGCATGGCAGTAGCTAGTTATATGTGCTCACAGAATATTGATCATTGAGCTCATTGCCAGCATTTTTTTGATAGTTTATGAAAATGGAAACCTAATCTGATCCCGCGATTTGTTATTCACTTTAATTAACAAAATATGTTAAGTCTAAACTAAGTTAATTGTATTTAGGTTGCAAGTGCCTTCGAAGATTTATGTTCTCTAACAGAAATGAAAGCTCTGGTAATTGATGCTGAGACGTGGCCTGACGATGCAAATGCAAATTTACGGTGTTTTAAACGTGACGTTGGGCAACTTATGAATGAGAGCACCGGTTATGAGAAAATTATGTGGGAGAGGATAGAAATGGAACTTAATAATATAAATGTAGAAAATCTTGGATTTGATCATCCAATATGTTCGGGAGTCCTCGATATCAAATCGGAACCTTTCATAAACATTCCTGAGTCATTTTGCGATATTTTTAAGGAACCGTTTCAAAAATATAAGTTAGAACAGAATCAAGATATATTAGACACTTGTAAAGAGTTTATCCAGAACGAAGAATCAAAGATTAATGAAGATGAGGATTTGCGCGATGTTGGATTTGGGAAATAGTTAGATAGCTCTGAAAGGCTTCAAGATACGACAAGACGAATTCTAGAATCTTTGTAAGTTTATTATTTTCGCCCTATACTCTGCCTTCTTCTATGTGTTTATTTACTACTCATGAATAATATAAATGGGTGAGAACTTTTCTAGGTTTAAAGTTTGGAAATCACCTAAGTATGAAGCCTATACAAAGAAAGGGAAATCGGTTAATGAAGGGTCATACGTCTGTGAAGTACTCGCGCCATTAATAAATATAGTAATGAGTGATTTGCCTGGAAATCCTGTTGTATGGGATATATGGTAAGCACCTAGTATCACCTATAAAATATTTCTCCCCTGTCGTGTTTTTTTCTTATTTAATGATTTTCCTAAATAGGGGTGAAGAGGGGAGTTCAGCTAGTATTATACGAAAAGGATCTTGCAAGTTTGCACGAAAGCCTGATTATATGACCATAGCGCAATTAGGAAAGGATGCAGAACTTGAAATAGTATATCTTGAAACTGGAAGGCCAAATTCCAGCCAAGATAAACGCCGGCAAGATCATAAAAAATTAATTCGATTATCCAAGAATTCTATTGATACTATTAGGATTTTATCAAAGCTCAAAAGAATATTCAATCAATTTTCCAAGAGGCAGAATTTGACTATATTTGCTATTAACATCGCAGGTAATGCATTATTTTTTTTACTTTTCTTCAGCCATACTATACCTCCTGCTCTTGTATTACAAACCAATAGTGAATAATCACGTTGCTTTTATTTTAGGCGATGTTATAGAACTTTATGCTATGCGAAAAGAATCGGGTATTTATAAGTACTGTTTAATAGAGGAAGCAACAATTCCATTGCATATGACTTCCCCAAATGCCGTATATCCGCTTATACATGCATTGATGACTCTGAGAACGGCCGTCGCATATACGATTCACAAAATATTATATAGTACTGACTCTGAGGATAGTGAGCATAGTTCTAGTGAAATGGTAGTAACAGTTACGACCCCCAAAAATTCATAGAATAGAGATTTCATACATGTAATTTTTATTAAGTTATATTATTAATAAAGCAGTGTATTAGATAATAAAAAAATTCTTTGCATTTTCCTCGAGAAACATCATTATGTCCCAGAAAATTTTCTTGGCAAATTTCTGAATCTATAAAATTCTCAAAATTTTTATTATCTATAAGAAATGACCGGTATACTAACGCCATCTTTTCACGTATATTACTCAAAGCAACTTAACCAGCTTCCTCGTTCCATCAAAATAGATACATGGCGACGTCTTACTTCACGAAAACATCCATTATCGATAGAACAGGCAAGTAGTATCCATCCCGAAGTGGAAGATTTGTTAAATAAGGCAGTTGGAAATTATATTAAGCAAAAAGAGCGTCAGAAGATGAAGCCTATTACTAGCACTGTCTCTTATACACATCTAGATGTGTATAAGAGACAGATCTAGGTTAGACCAGCCATGCGACAGAAAATAAACGTGTTTCTGATCCCGTTGAGTGGATATGATGTAATAAGTGATACTCTATGCTTGTGCGACGAAATAATTTTACACACCCAAAAATATTTCGAATTTTTTTCCCTAGCAACGTTTAGTGGAATAGCATTTATTTGTGAGTTTATTTCTCCAGAGCTACAGGCTATTTCTACTATATGGGGTTCACTAATTTCGACAGAAATACATTATATAACGTTGCTAGGTCTTAGTATTAAGCGGTCAGGCGAAAAAAAAGTTCGTATATGCATATTCCCCAACGCCTTTGCAATGTTGAGATCTACAATGCACNTGTTAAATAAGGCGGTTGGAAATTATATTAAGCAAAAAGAGCGTCAGAAGATGAAGCCTATTACTAGCGACTGTGAAACTTCGTTAAGGCAAGAAAATGAGGAGTTGTGTATATCAAAGCAGGTATTGGAAAAAAAGATTGAAGAGCTTCTTGATTTGCAAGAACAGTATAAGTCTCGTGAGGTAGCTATGACCAAGTCTTTAGAGGAGAGTGGTGAGAAAGTCGCCCAATTATCAAATTCGGTAGCTTATTTCAAGAGTATAATCCCTGATACGAAAAAAGCTCTTGCATCAGCTGAAAAGTCTATTGACCTATTAGAGAATAAATGCCGGCATTTGGAGGATGTTATCTCTGCCAAGGATAGAAAAATTATCGCTCTTGTTGATCAGATTCTTTCTTACACGAAGTACAGTGATGTAACTACAGAACCGGAAACGTATTCCAGCAATTGTGAAAGAGATTTATGGGCGAAACAACATAGAGAATCTGAATATGACCTAGAGGTTCAGAAAAAATACACATTTCGGGATTTGGCAGTTAAATGATTATCAGGTAATTGGTTGCCAGCACAGCTAGTTGGAAGTATTGCCCAACGATTTGATTTCCTTTTCCAAATTGAGCGGAGTGTCCCATCGAAGTGAAAAGGATTCAGATCTCGGTTTATTTATATCGATGACCACAAATTCCTTTTGTCTCAAATAACCATCGATGACCTTTGAAGCTTTGTGCTGATCAGCATCTGTATAAGGACTTATAATGTCAGCAAGTTTTCAGGTTGAACCCCCACCACTGAAGAGTACAATATGCGTTGCATTTTCACGAATATCCGTAGGAATCCTGTGAAATTTTTGTGAGACATAAATAGAAGAAATATTCTCGTGGCGACCTCTACTAAAATATGGAATAATTTTTTTCTGTATAGCTGGAGGGTCTGAACAGACATCCTCAAATATCGTTAGTTTACTTCTTTTAACATTGAACTTTTTTGGGTCTGGAATTTTATCAGGAGTGAGTGTAGAGAATGTGATATCTTCATAGTATGGCTTGGATTTATCTTGCGCAAGATATTTATAAAAGTTTCGAACAATTCTATATTTAGGCTCGTTAAGATGGTGGCCACAAAGTATCACGTCATCGCATTTAACATTGCGCTCACCTATTTTAGAACTCTTTTTTTTCTTAAACATATAGTAAAATTTGTTCATCACCAGCAGGTTTAGAATCATATTCGTTTTACCCGAATTGCTAGCCCCTGCAACTATAATTCGAAAAGGCCATGCCAGTGCATGAGGATCACCCTGATATTTTTTCGAGGGCTTGACTTCGTCCACTGCGAATATTACGTATTTCATGATTTGATCTAACTAATTATTATATCGAAAAATAATGTAACAATTTCTCAAGTTCCGGCAATAAATGCCCTGCCCAATAGATTGGTTTACCCACTTGCATCATCCAAATATCCCTTTTCGATTAGCGTATACCTAATGTAGGGAAAAAGGTCACATGTGTAGGGCACCGAGATAAGACATATACCTTCTTGCTTACATATGTCTCGCTTTTTTTGATCTCGGGATTTTTGTTCATCTAAATCTATCTGGCCTCTCTTATGAAACATTGAATTAAGATTATAGTGTTGGGATCCATGATATTCAAAAGCCAATTTTAATTCTTCATTATAACCATCTAATTGCATCCCATTCAAAAATGATGGTCTGCAGGATGGGAATTTCTTGCCTAGCAGATCATCAAAAATGTATCGGCAATTTCTTTCGGTAGTATGGTGGCATAGAGGACACCACTCGAATTTTTTTATGATATACTTTAATGGATACTCCCATTGATGCGCACCATTTTCACAGGACCAGAGGTATACATTATGTCCATTTATTCGCCCGGTCTTTTCCAGACAATGGCCACCACACTTTTTAGCATATTGATCGGCTTTAGTCAATTTATTATTAGCAACTTGAACATAGTGAACGAATCCAGTAGGATGGTATTTCCGCATAAATTCATCTGGTGGATATTCGATTTTATCAGGTTCCTCAATTACTTGGAGTTCCTCGAATTTGAAAGGTCTTTTGGGATTTCGTCCCATCAAATGAGCAGTAGATTCAATAAGTCCATTTTCAAGATAGTATAAAATTGGCTGTGGCGGGTTCTTCCCAATAACAACTCTTTTTATCTTATAGACACGCAAGCTCCAGTATGGATCAGTTGCTCTACGCCTATGGTCCCCTTCCAATTCACCTGGTTTCAACAAATATCTAACCGCTGTACCCTTTTGTAACTTTATCTCCTCATCTTTTCCAATTGCGCGCTTAGCTTTCCTAGAAGGTTTTGATTCAACTTCTTCCAAAGTCATAGCACGAGCTGGAGACATCCCAATAAAGCGTGTCTTACTGTTATTCAAATAATCAATATACTTCTTAAGAATTTTTTTCCATAGTCTTGATTGCTCTCCGTCAGTTAATCGTCCCTCTATAGCATATTGGACTTTATATATTAATTCTGCTATTCTTTTCTTAAACGCTTTAATCAAAGCCAAGCTCTCTAAACTATAAAGGTCGACAACACGTATTGGGACATTGTATTGTTGCATCCCTCGAAAGAATGCACCCCTAAACGAGGCATCACCATCAGTCATTAATAATGTTTGCCATGTGAGATTATTAGAAGGATCCTCAAATATTTCTTTTACCGCATTCCAGATTTCTAAACTATTTCTCGATGTTATTGAGCTTGCGTCTTTAAAACGTGTTGCCACATCTATGATTAGAAAAGTACAAACAAATATCCTTCTACCATCCTGATCATCTTTAGTGTGGAGCAGAATGTCACACTGCTGAACCTTGTTTGGAATCTTAATCTTCGAAAAACTTGCTTCAGCTTTACATGGTAGTGGTTGTCGATAAATTTGATGGATATATTGATACACTAACCACTTTGCAATATCTCGCAATCGAAAAGAATATCCTTCTTTCTGACATGCATTATATAGGGTTTTGGCATTGGTATAAAAGCCAGGTATATTATAAAACAGAAGTCTACAGACTATATGGAGCGTTTCATCGGGATTTATTACAATCTGCGGTTGACTCATTCTTAAACACGATTATATGATGGTTCTATAAATCAGGGCTGAATAATATCATGTCAACATTCGATCCGGCGTATTCACAACTCTTAGATACGAACCAGGAGCTTTGTAGTGAGCTTCAGGATGAAATTTCCAATAATAAAAGTAATGAGAAAAAATTTTGTTCTCTTGTGAAGGAGCTAGAGCAATGTTATCAAACTATCTCATTACAGGATAATACTATCATAACCCATGAAAAAGAGGTAAAGAAACTTAAATCGGAAATATCTGATTTGCGAAAACAGTTTAGGATCTTACAACAAGATAAAAAATTCAAAGATGAGGTTAGGTCTATTTAAGATGGCCAAATCATAGAGCTTGAAAATAAGGTAGAACGTCTCAAGGCAAGAATCCGGATTCTCATAGATAAAAAAATCTCAATAAATGCTTTAGATATGGCAACAGCTGATCTTATTGGAAATATTAACAGAGGGTTAGATCAGATTGAAAATCATATTAAAGGTGCCGGTACACTACTGCCAAATCCTATTAATATTTTAGATGGTATCAGGGGCTCGTTAAATACTATTCGGGTTACTTTGCAAAATGCCACAACTGAGCGGGATCAATATCAGAACATATTAAATGAAACAAATGAGCGGGAATGGGTTCTTATACAGCAGTTAAGGGATATGAGAAATGAAAATCTGCGATTCCAGCAGTTATTAGATGTGTATAAGAGACAGCATTTAACATTGCGCTCACCTATTTTAGAACTCTTTTTTTTCCTAAACATATAGTAAAATTTGTTCATCACCAGCAGGTTTAGAATCATATTCGTTTTACCCGAATTGCTAGCCCCTGCAACTATAATTCGAAAAGGCCATACCGGTGCATGAGGATCACCCTGATATTTTTTCGAGGGCTTGAATTCGTCCACTGCGAATATTACGTATTTCATGATTTGATCTAACTAATTATTATATCAAAAAATAATGTAACAATTTCTCAAGTTCCGGCAATAAATGCCCTGCCCAATAGATTGGTTTATCCACTTGTATCATCCAAATATCCCTTTTCGATTAGCGTATACCTAATGTAGGGAAAAAGGTCACATGTGTAGGGCACCGAGATAAGACATATACCTTCTTGCTTACATATGTCTCACTTTTTTTGATCTCGGGATTTTTGTTCATCTAAATCTATCTGGCCTCTCTTATGAAACATTGAATTAAGACTATAGTTTTGGGATCCATGATATTCAAAAGCCAATTTTAATTCTTCATTATAACCATCTAATTGCATCCCATTCAAAAATGATGGTCTGCAGGATGGGAATTTCTTGCCTAGCAGATCTTCAAAAATGTATCGGCAATTTCTTTCTGTAGTATGGTGGCATAGAGGACACCACTCTAATTTTTTCATGATATACTTTAATGGATACTCCCATTGATGCGCACCATTTTCACAGGACCAGAGGTATACATTATGTCCATTTATTTGCCCTGTCTTTTCCAGACAATGGCCACCACGCTTCTTAGCATATTGATCGGCTTTAGTCAATTTATCATTAGCAATTTGAACATAGTGAACGAATCCAGTAGGATGGTATTTTTGCATAAATTCATCTGGTGGATATTCGATTTTATCAGGTTCCTCGATTACTTGGAGTTCCTCGAATTTGAAAGGTCTTTTGGGATTTCGTCCCATCAAATGAGCAGTAGATTCAATAGGTCCATTTTCAAGATAGTATAATATTGGCTGTGGCGGGTTCTTTTCAATAACAACTCTTTTTATCTTATAGACACGCAAGCTCCAGTATAGATCAGTTGCTCTACGCCTATGGTCCCCTTCCAATTCACCTGGTTTCAACAAATATCTAACCGCTGTACCCTTTTGTAACTTTATTTTCTCATCTTTTCCAATTGCGCGCTTAGCTTTCCTAGAAGGTTTTGATTCAACTTCTTCCAAAGTCATAGCATGAGCTGGAGACATCCCAATAAGGCGTGTCTTACTGTTATTCAAATAATCAATATACTTCTTAAGAATTTTTTTCCATAGTCTTGATCGCTCTCCGTCAGTTAATCGTCCCTCTATAGCATATTGGACTTTATATATTAATTCTGCTATTCTTTTTTTAAACGCTTTAATCAAAGCCAAGCTCTCGAAACTATAAAGGTCTACAACACGTATTGGGACATTGTATTGTTGCATTCCTCGAAAGAATGCACTCTGAAACGAGGCATCACCATCAGTCATTAATAATGTTGGCCATGTGAGAGGATTAGAAGGATCCTCAAATATTTCTTTTACCGCATTCCAGATTTCTAAACTATTTCTCGATGTTATTGAGCGTGCGTCCTTAAAACGTGTTGCCACATCTATGATTAGAAAAGTACAAACGAATATCCTTCTACCATCCTGATCATCGTGAGTGTGGAGCAGAATGTCACACTGCTGAACCTTGTTTGGAATCTTAATCTTCAAAAAACTTGCTTCAGCTTTACATGGTAGTGGTTGTCGATAAATTTGATGGATATATTGATACACTAACCACTTTGCAATATCTCGCAATCGAAAAGAATATCCTTCTTTCTGACATGCATTATATAGGTTTTTGGCATTGGTATAAAAGCCAGGTATATTATAAAACAGAAGTCTACAGACTATATGGAGCTCTTCATCGGGATTTATTACAATCTGCGGTTGACTCATTCTTAAACACGATTATAT